GAAGTTGGCTGCCAGCAGCTGAAGATTTTGTGACCCATTGTTGTAATATGCTAAAGCTGCCTGGTGTAGTTCCTCCATGATCAAGAAATCACAGGGCCCTTGAAGCAATAGCTAGGTTGGCTTATGGGTTTTATAGGATGCCATTATTGTTAGTGGCATTTTCTTATTCATGTGTGTTTTAATTTATGCATGCAACAATGTCCTCTGTACAAGGGCTTATAGCTTGCACATTGACCTAGCTACAAAGCATGAATCTACAAGTGCTGCATTGATTGATTTGGCAATGTTAAATAAGTTTTTTCTCCTCTGACTATTTTTTGTTTTCCTGTGATTCTAATTGTTTTAGAAGTCAACTTTTTCTTGGCCAGCTTTAGACGTGAGCTTTGAAACTAAATAATGTGTACAGGATGGAATATTAAGTCCACTTGCTTACATTCCCTCCAACCAGTGGAACCCAACATGGATATCCATCCAATGAAAATGCTTGAAACTTATTTGACCAACCTAGTGGAATTAATTCATCCCCGACCAACCTAATTGAAATTCCTCTTTTATATTTGGGGAGGGGGGTTTTCTCACACACACTATTAAATTATTATGGGAGTACGAATCTAAAATCACTGGTATGCAAGTCAAGACCCTTTCCACTGAAATTGGGCTAGACCTGTTGGTCTAATTGAAATTCTTCTGACAAAAAAAAAAAAAAAAAAAAAAAAAAAAAAAAAAAAAAAAAAAAAAAAAAAAAAAAAAAAAAAAAAAAAAAAAAAAAAAAAAAAAAAAAAAAATTGTTATTGACACTCCAATAGCAGCTTTCAAAAAATAGTGGGAATTTCTAATTTTAAAAATATTATCACGTCTAAACAATCCCAACAAAACAAAAGGCTCTCCACTGCCACAATAAAAATTAAAAAAACTATTTTCTGTCAGGAAAACATAAAACTTATATGCGACCAAACCAAGTAGGAATTCTCTAATAATTTCTTAATTGTAGTTTAAGGAATATGTAGAAGAGAACTTCAAGCAAGTAGTACCGTAATTAGCTGTGGCACCACTGCTTGGGCCCATACACATCGTCACCATAGAATTAAATCCTCGATACTAATTAAGTTATTTGACCACGAAAAAAAAAAACCCCCTTCCCCTAAAATTGGGGTAGACCTTTTTGTTTAATTAAAAATTTTTTGAAAAAAAAAAAAAAAAAAAAAAAAAAAATTGTTATTGACACTCCAATAGCAGCTTTCAAAAAATAGTGGGAATTTCTAATTTTAAAAATATTATCACGTCTAAACAATCCCAACAAAACAAAAGGCTCTCCACTGCCACAATAAAAATTAAAAAAACTATTTTCTGTCAGGAAAACATAAAACTTATATGCGACCAAACCAAGTAGGAATTCTCTAATAATTTCTTAATTGTAGTTTAAGGAATATGTAGAAGAGAACTTCAAGCAAGTAGTACCGTAATTAGCTGTGGCACCACTGCTTGGGCCCATACACATCGTCACCATAGAATTAAATCCTCGATACTAATTAAGTTATTTGACCACGAAAAAAAAAAAAGGAAAAAAAAAAAACAAGACGTTATGGTTCAGTAGGAACAAATTTACTCATTACATTACAGTATAAATCAGCAAGAACTAAGTTTATGAGTTCCAGTATCAATCAGCAAGCACTGAATCAACCCTAGGATCTTCTTTTTGACACACGAAACCAGAAACACGTACCAAACTTGTTGAGTTGAGAAAGAAGAGAGGGAACCTTGTTTATAGTCCCATGATTCATCTTAATCAAGACCCTCAAGACTAGAAGTATGATGTCCAAGGAACTATGAACCTGAATTTCCTGCAATTTCATACAAATATCTAAACAAACTAAAATAGAAAAAGCACTTTGCTTTAAAGAAAAACTGCTCGTCGCAATGTGGGAATATGAGACTCATTTCATAAAACTACGCCAATAAAGGTCCCTCAAATGCCAGAAATTACTTCTACAAGGATGCATTAAGATAAGCATTCCAGATGATTTATGTGCCTACTGAATTTTTGAGTGCGACATGAGTTCTCCATCAGATCCAACGGGAAGTCAGGAAAACAAAAAAAAGAAACTCACATAGGGAACAAATCATATACATTAGAATTAAAAAGAAAGTCGAATGCCTGGAATTAGGGTCAGTGTCCAACCGATGATACGGTGGTACCAACTGATATTTATGAAAACGTGATTGATGCTCAAACTACATCATCTAAGACTCAATGATTCTTTTACTATGAACAATTTTTTTCTACTATTTGCTCCCTACTGCACATACAAGGGTTTCATTGGGTCGCTCAAGAAAAATTCTGCATCCAACAATGTAGGGCCAACAATTATGGCCCTAAACAATCCAAAAGATTGATAGTCTATAAAAAAGGGAATTTCTAACAAATCAAAGGACATGTAACTTGAACACTAATGTAATTAGCTTATTGAGCAAATATGAGTCAGAGAGAGACCATGAATCATAAAAAATTAATTTAACCCCAAACAATATAAAGGATTACAGAGAATGACAATGCCACGATAAGCAGAATGCTCCATAATGTAACATAATGATATCAACAGGTAAACTGAGACATCTTGCAGGTACAAAAGATAAAAACCTGATAGCAAAAGATATTTAGAAAGGAAATCCTTGCTGGAAGTTCTTCTTGGAGTAGTCTTCTGCCAATCGCTTCACACCCTTTGCATTTATATAAAATTCCATCAATTCATCAGCAACATCCTTTGGGTGACAATTAACAAATGCCTTCAGAAACCTCTTCTCTGTCATCCTCAGTGCCCTCAGCATCATAGGGCCTTCAATCTGCAAGTCAAGACCCATTTCCTGCATTTTCTCTGCAAGAAATACTCGTGGCTTTAAAACAGCCTCCAGATTTGTGTACAGAAAAAAGGGATACTCAAGAACCACTGGGGCGGGAAGTTTCATTTTTCCTATAATGAAAGTCATGTTCCTCTGAACCTTATCAATTGACAGTGTAAGCACAAGGGGAGACCTTGCCAAAAGACCAAAAATCTCATCTTCTGAGAAACCAAACTTCTCCAAATTTGCAACTTTCTGACGGATAGTTTCAAGGCGTGAAATGCCAATGATTGCGACAACATACTTATACATGGTTGAATGATTCGAAAGCCTGGTTTTTCGTATATATTCCATCTTTTCATCATTAAATGAAGTTCTTGGGATCAACGTGGGCCGTGACAGAAGAAGTTGGGTCAAGTCACTTGTGCTAAGACCCATTCCTTCGTATAGTGCGATGGCAGGCTTGATTTTATCGTGAAAGTCATAGGTCAAGAGAGATGGGTTCTTTACAATGGCTTTGACAAGAACTTCCCTCGACTCAAACAATCTCATAAAGTACTCAAGCCGCTCATCAAAACAATGATTAATTCGATTACTGAGAAACCGGGGCCGACAATTGATGATCTTCACAAGCTCAGATGCACTAATGCCCAAGCCACTTAGAATGTTTAGTTTGAACTGAAGCTGATCAAGGTCAGCATTCCGCAAAGCAGGCCGCCGTGTGAACATCTTGGATATGTCAGTATCACTACAACCCCAGTTCTTAAGAATTTCTTCAGAGTTCTTGGGTTGGTCTCTAACATATTCTCCTACACTTTCTTCCTGGGCTTGGCAAATGGTCGAATAGGTGGCGGGCGGGAAAAGTAGAGAAGTTGTTGGGAACAGAGTTTTGGGAAAAGATAAAGAATTTCGAGAGGCTGTCAATAAATTTCGGAGCTTAACTAAAGAACCAACTCTAGATTGCATGTCAACAGACTCAAGTTATTGGCTGCACATCCTTTGGGAAAATTGGAATGCAGCTAAAGAATCAGCATAGAAGTACGCAGTAAAATTTATTCAAAATTTGAAGCTCAAATCTTTTTATATTAAGCGCTCCTATTAATCTTGGACTGATACACAGTCACAAAGAAGCAGCAAAAATGGTTTTCTTAAATCTTTACCACAAATTTAGTTCTTGATATTCATCATCTCGTCAGAGTCCTGGGCAAAGTTTTAAGCTTTCCATCTAATCCACAAAAAGAAAATATTTATAAGCAGATAGATACTCGAGGTGAATTTCCATAGAGAGAGAGGAGAGAGAGAGGAGAGAGAGAAGGGGATACCTGGGCAGCCCATGGATAGCCTTTGAAGGGTTTAGCAGCAACGGACAGACGGCATCGAGGTTTTAGGCACAAGGCACTTAAGACGGGCGGCTAGAGACAATGCAGTGATTTGGATTGAGTGGCGCTTTTCGGCCATTCTGTTTACACCCAAAATTTTGCTTATCACACAAAGTCTTTTAATTCCTATTTTATCCTTATTGTCTGATTTTTTTTAGAAACAATTTTTATTTTATTTTATTAACATGTAGCTGGTCCGGTGATTCTCTTCTCTATCCCCGTCATAAATTCAAATCCTCTCTCATCCCCTCCCTTCCTAATAAAAGCCTTGCTATCACATGTGTATATGCAATTTGGTGTGTAAATGCAATCATGTGATAAGAGAGATAAACACATGATAATTGTATGCCTCATTTAAATTTTCTTCTCTCGTACCCAAAAATGTTGAAAGATGTTGATGGATGGGGGTTTGTAGTTTCAAAGTTAGGGGCATATGTCTCCACACCTAAATCCGGAGTAGGAATGTCCCTTATTATCCTTTGAGTTTGTTAAAAGAAAAGAAATGTATTGAGAATGAAGAACTTCTTGTCAATTCTGGATAATTGTGGCAATTCCTACAGTTTTTGAGAGGATTGGAGACGCATTCATTTTATGGTCACCTATGTGTGACAAGATGAAGCGACCTTTTACCAAGGTGGGTGCGATGGAGAAAATCTTAGGAGCAACCGGTTGTATATAATCATGTGTCTATTTATCTTGTCACGTAACTAGAGATTGTGCAATGAACCGACACAATAAAAAAGCTAAGTATCAGCCACAACAGAGACATAGAAGTGAACCAAAATAAAGGATTGCTTGAACCCCAAATAAAGAATAAACTGAATCCAAAATGATAACAATGTTTACACAAAATGACAATGCAAATATATTGAAATTGCCCCATGTTCATGTAACAAAATGTATAGAGGATATCCTGTACAATAAGACAAACTCCAGACTTCAAGACGAAAACCTGATAGCCAAAAACATTCAGAAAGGAAATCCTTTTTGGAAGTTCTTCTTTGAGGCTTCGGCCAATCGCTTAACACCCTTCACATTTTTGTAGAACTCCATCAATTCATCAGCAGCATCCTTTGGGTGACAATTAACAAATACTTTCAAAAACCTCCTCTCCGTCATCCGCATTGCCCTCACCATCATAGGGCCATTAATCTGTAAGTCAAGACCCATTTCCTGCACCTTCCTGGCAAGAAGTACTCGTGGCTTCAACACATCCTCCAGATTCTTGAATAGCAAACTTGGGTGCTCAAGAACTGTAGTAGCAGGAAGCTTCATTTCTCCTAAAATGAAAGTCATGTTCCTCTGAACCTTATCGACTGATAGTGTCAAGACAAACGGAGACTTCCCAAAAAAGAGAAAAACCTCATCTTCTGAGAAACCAAACTTCTCCAAGTTTGCAACTTTCTGACGGATAGTTTCAAGGCGTGAAATGCCAATTATCGTAACAACATACTTGAACATTCTGGAATCATTTGAAACTCCGGTTTTTCCTATATATTCCATCTTTTCTTCATTAAAGGAAGTTCTTGGTATCAATGTAGGCCGTGATAGAAGCATCTGGATCAAGTCCGGCATACTAAGACCAATTCCTTCATATAGCGCAATGACCGGTTTGATTTTCTTGTGAAGGTCATGGGTCAAGAAAGACGGGTTCCTTAATATGGCTTTGGCAAGCACTTCCTTTGATCCAAACAATGTCATCAAGAACTCAACCCGTTCATCAAAGCAATGGTTAACTCGACAAGTGAGAAATCGGGGCCGATCATTGATAATCTTCGCAAGCTCAGGAGCACTGATGCCCAACCACGTTAAACGTTCGAGTTTGGACTGAAGCTGGTTAGCGTCAGCTTTCAGTAGAAAAGGCCCCCGAGTGAAAATATTAGATATTTCAGTATCAGTACAACCGAATTGCTTCATAATTTGCACAGAGGTCTTGGATTGGTCTCCAATGTCTTCTCCTACACTGTCTTCCTCGGTGTGGCAAACCGTCGAATAGGTGGCGGGTGTGAAAATAAACCAAGTTGTTGGGAGCAGAATCTTGGGCAAAAATAAGAAATTTGGCGAGGTGGGCAGTAAGATGCGGAGCTTAAGTAAGGACCCAAATGTGGATTTCATGTCAAAATGCACTTTGTTTCAAAGCAGGAAGAACACAAAAGGCTTTCAGATTGGGAAGGGAATGTGTTGCGAATTTTGGTATAAGAGGACTTGAAACCTTGATGCCTCTGCTGTAAAAATGCGTCTTAAAGATTGCTCTTTTTATATTAGGTTTGCAGCTGAATGATATGGAATGGAAGTCAGTTTTGTTCGTTGACCTGCAGAGGGAAAATGCAGTGGAAAAGCTATATAGATTTGCCGTTTGCAAAGCACGTGCGCAAATACAAGGATTTACAACCCCTATATACATGCTATTGATATTGTTTCATTATTTTGATAGTATTTTCTTTAACAACGTGGAATAGAAAGACCACTAAACCAATAGCTAGTTGATACAAACGAGTCATGTCTTGTCATAGACTCATGTTCGGGTTGTTCTTTTCTGGATTTGTATTGCATGAATTGATACTAACTCAACTTCTTTATTATTTTGACACCCAAAAAAAAAAAAAAAAAAAAAAACTCAACTTCTTTATTAATTCTCATGTTCGAGTCGATACAAATCTTATAAGTAAGTCAAGTTGTATGTTGACTTTATAAGATGTCGACCAGCCTTGGATGTTGCTCTCCTCAACGTTTGCTATGTTGACAGCCATGAAAGAAGTATTTTCAACTTCTAATCTTTTCTTAAGTTCAGAAAGCTGAGACATTCTTTAAGCGGTTGGAATGCTTTTACAGTAACAAACTCATCACTTGTCTCTTAATCCAGGTAACTCTTCGCTGCAACAAGTAACTCTGATTCGTAAGTTCTTTAGTCCTGCAGATTCAATACTCAGAACATAGCATATACATATGGATGTGGAGAAGTTAAAAGAGCGTGAGAATGTTTACCAGGAGGAAATGGATCATACTGATGACCATAGATTATAATGAGATTGTAACAAGCAGATCATTCTGAAAAGGCCTAGTTCCTCTTAGGAGCATGGACTTATCAAAGTACATAACCTAGGAAGAGCTCCTATCTGGCTATCTCCAGTACTCTGAACTTCTCTACAGGAACCTAGATTTCGCTTATTATTGTTTGGTGGGTTAAACTTGATCCTAATGACTCTTCCTCCATGCCTGTCAATTATTTTCCAAAAGAAAAGTGACATTTCAAGCATGAACATATATATTAACATGTCAAATCTAATTCTTCATAGATGTATACGAAGCTCCTCCAGAGTTAGAATTTTAGTATTTTGACTTGTTTTGAACATATACTAAGAGGAATGATACAACTGTTAACATATCTTAGGAAGGTGAATACCTGAGTGTTGAGAAGCAATATGTGAAAGCGGTCTGTGTTATTGGACAATGATGACATCCCAAAAGTATAACGAGTTTAGCAAGGCACTTTCATCTACTCTTGGAGCAAAACAAAACATCCACATGATCAGCATGGTAATAAATCTTTGCTCCTCTTCAAGGATGAACAACAAATTTAGCTAGTTCTACTGTCTTAAGTTGGCTGAAAAAGCACAGTTTTCGTTGTTGTGGATTGTAAAAGGCTCTGTGCTGGTTCTTTTTTCAAACTTCTGTTTTCTATCAAATTTCGGGTTTCCAAAGCATTGTCCCATGCTCCAGATGCAGCATATATGCTTCCTAGAACAACATAGTTAACTGAATTCTTTGGATCCATCTCAAAAAGATGCATTGCTGCCAGTTCTCCAAGTGATCTATTACCATATATGCTACATGCCCCAAGAATGCCTCCCCAAAGTGAGGCATTAGGCTTGATGTTCATGTCACATATCAACTTGTAAGCTTCTTCTAACAAACCTGCACGTGCGTAAAGATCTACAATGCAAGAAAAATGCTCAGCTTGAGGCAAGATGTTGTATTTGCTGAACATAGTATTGAAGCATTCCCATCCTTCTCCTGTCAATCCAGCATGGCTACAAGCAAAGAGAAGAGACAAGAATGTGACACCATTAGGTTCCAACCCCTCATATTCCATCTTTTTATATAAAGCAATCGCCTTATGTCCTAAGCCATGCCTTCCATATCCAGAAATCAGCGATGTCCATGAAATAACATTTTTTTCTTCCATCTCATCAAAAGCATGGTTAGCATCTTCAATTTCTCCGCATTTGGCATACATATCAACTAGAGCATTTCCCATGGCCACATCATAACAAGCTTGGTGTTTAAAAGTCAGGGCATGGATTTGTCTTCCCAAGATCAATGAAGCACTATTGGCACATATGTTAAGCATGGAGCATAATATGACACCATCCAAGGCCAGGTGCATAAGAGTCATTTCTTTAAAGAGATCTAGCACATCTCTGCTGTAGTTACCTTCTTGTGCATATCCAGTTATCAGTGCAGTGCAAGCTATAATGTCCTTTTTCATCATGTTCTTGTATATTTTATGAGCACTCTCTACACTTCCACATTTAGCATATGCATTGATCAGCGATCCACTTAAAGTTTTGTGTGATCCAAACCCCACTTGCATGATGAACCCATGTATTTGACTTACCTTCATTAAACCACTACCTCCAGCTAAGGCTCTCAAAACACTCCCCAAGGTGAAGCAATCAGGGAACATGCCTGAGTCAAATATCACATATACAATTAAACATAACTAACTAAAGGAAAGCAACGGAAGTGATACATATAATAACAAAATCTTAAAGCATGAAAAATGATAATTTAGAACTGTTGTGTCTCCAGCTGTAGCCTTGATTCCCTCACTTTGAAGATAAGCATTATATGATGCTAAATTTTGACTATCTATTAAGAAGACATAAAGAAACCCATTGTTGACTATTTGCTTGAGAGTTAAGTACACCAAAAAAAAAAAGGCACACACAAAAGGGCTGTAAATGATATGGGTAGTATAATTTTTCCAAAATTGAATGTATCATTCAGTGGTCAGCAAACAAAAGGGCAATGTCATTCACCAAGGCAAGGTAAATGTGGGAATGTGGCGACTAAGCATCACTCAAAAAATATGGAACAAACACAAAGAAGAGCACAAATAATAAGAATATAAAAGCTTCAATTTTAACCACAAGTATAAACATTCACCTTCCCTCATCATTGAATGAAACAGTTGCAATGAGGCATCAGCAAAGCCCTGAACAGCATAGCCGCCAATCATTGCATTCCAAGAGACCAAGTCCCTTTCCGACATTTCCTCAAACAAATAACGCGCATCCTCTATCTTTCCACACTTTGAATGAAAATCAACCAACGCACTCTGCACAAACAAGTTCTCAGCAAACCTACCTTTCAGAATACACCCCTGTATTTGCATCCCTACTTCCAAACACCGCAAACCTGTACATGCCCTCAACGTGCTACCATACCCAAACTGATTAGCTCTAAAACCCGCCTGACGCATATTCAAAAACATCACCAAAGCATTTTCATAACATCCACTTAGAGCATACCCAGAAATCATAGCGGTCCAAGACACAACATTTTTCTCAGGCATTCGATCAAACACGTTACGGGCACTAACAATGCGGCCAAATTTCGAGTAAAATATTACCAGCTTGGTGTTTAAATTCAAATTTGAATCAAACCCACTTGTTATTGCGTGGTTATGAACCAAAAGACCGGGTCTTTCTGCTCGTTCATCGATGCAGAGCTGCAAGATATTCATGTAGCAAGAATAATAAGAGTCTAACTGAGCTGGGTTTAAGAGAATTAGTCTCAGAGCCTCCTGTAGTTGACCCCTTTTGCAGAATGCGTGCATAATGAGAGAGTTTGTGTACTTCTACTTCTTAATGGGGTCTGTCATTATTTGGAAGTTCGTTTATCGTTTTTGTACGGAAACTGGCTTCAGTTTGGGTTTTATGCCGCCATTTTCAAACGGAATTATGTAGTACCGTAATTTTGTACGGATAATACAGAAATTCTATGTGGCGACAACAATATTCACGGGACCGAATTGATTTGAACCGAACTAAATCAAATTAAATTAATTAAAAAGTATAATTAGACCGAACCGAACTAAACTGCTTTGAGGTAATTTTTCCTTCTAAATATTATCAATTCAACCCCTTGTGCTTCGAAAAAACTAAAATACATAATTGAAGTAGATAAGGGTTAATAAAAATGGTATGGATTTCACTCCACCAAAATGCAAATAATTATTTCAAATAACTTATTCTTCAAAATTTAGAAAATCTTTCCCTTTGAAAGACTTTGTAAGTCAATTGGTTTACACAATTTACTCGAGTATATAAGATTTAATATTCGATTTTCCCATCTCACAATACCACTTGTAAAAAAACAGAAGGGAATTAACCTCCTGGGGAAAAAGAATAATACTACGCTTATCACATTTGTATACCACATTCTCATACCACCTTATGTGGCAGATGAAGTGGACAACACATCAATTAAAATTAATTTAAAGTTTTCTTATTTTTTATGATTTTAATTGATGTGATTGTCCACTTCATCTGTCACATAAGGTGGTATGAAAATGTGGAATATAAATGTGGTAAGTGTAGCATTACTCGGGAAAAAATGACCATTATAACTTATCCTTGTATCAACCTATCTGGTCTTTCATGCATAAGTAGTTCGTTTCTAACATTTGAAAAGAAAATATATAATGATGTTTGTATAATGGTATTTATGTCAATAATTGCGTAGAATAATAATAAAAAGATACGAACAGCACGACGACAAGATAAAGCTTCGAGTGAAGTACAGAAATAATAACCTTCCAAACCAATAAATAGAATAAAATAACGTGTGCCTCGTGTCTCTCCAGTCACCACTGCCATAAATTAATTAAAAAGAAAAGCAGAAAGTAAACCAATGATGGGATTTTCTAGTTGTCTTGTTGGCCAGCCGCATTTGACTTCATACATTCACAGGAGATGTTGATGGTTAATTAAAGTCTAACAGCGAGGCAGTATTTTCTGAAAAAAAAAAAAAACATCTCACAAATATTTTCTTTTAAAATATAGAGCCTCAACAGAAAAATTTCAGCCATAACTTCATCATCTGGCTAGAAACCTTGTGCTGACCATTCATGGCTAGAACTAGCTCTGCCTGTCTCAGTGTAGCTTCCTTCCTCTTTTTTTCAAGCTTACTGTGGAATTTCAATGCTGCAAGGGACACACTCAAACCAGGTGACACTCTAAATTCCTCAAGCTCCTTAGTTTCTGGAATGGGGAAATTCACCATGGGGTTCCATATTTATGACCACAATTTGAACTATAGCTACCTTGTTGTTAAGTGGGCTGCAAGTCATAATTATGCATGGATTGCCAATAGAAACAAACCCATTTTGTACCCTTTGGGAATTCTTACCTTGGACCAAAATAATACATTGAAAATTACACACAAGGATGGTGAGCCTGTTGTACTTTACTCTGCTTCAGAAACTAGCAATGCCAATAATATTGTGGCTACCCTTTTAGATTCTGGCAATTTTGTCCTACAAGAATTGAGCTTTGATGGATCACCCAACAGGGTTTTGTGGCAAAGCTTTGATTTCCCTGTAGACGTCCTTCTGCCAGGTATGAAATTAGGTTTGAACCATAAAAGTGGTCATGTTTGGTCACTTTCATCATGGTTTACTCCTAACAGTGCAGTGCCAGGGGCTTTCACTCTTGATTGGGACCCGGAGGCACACGAATTGAAGATTAGACGGCGTGGGGTGGTTTATTGGAGCAGTGGAGCCTTTAGGAATGGGAGATTTAAATTTATTTTGCCCGATGAATCCAAGCTGAGGTATAATTTTAGTATTGTGTCAAATGAAGATGAAGATTACTTCACTTACAGTGCTGTAGATCAAAGTGGTATATCAGAATGGGTGCTAACCATAATGGGGAGACTATATGACTTTGATGAGACAATTGATATTGCACAAGCAGATTATTGTTATGGCTCCAACACTGATGGAGGGTGCCAGATGTGGGACCGGCCAATTGATTGTAGGCATGCTGGTGATAGATTTGAGGAAGAAAAGGGTTACTTCAATCCAACCCGCTCTGGTCCAACAGCAACGAGTGATACTTCAAATACAAGCTTCAGCATCAGTGATTGTAAGGCTGCTTGCTGGAAAAATTGTGACTGCCTTGGATTCAACTATCTGTTTGATAATCAGACCGGATGTCGATTTTGGACTGGCCACTGGGAGTTCATCAAGGACAGCACAGGTTATAGTTCAAGCAATATTTATTTTCTAACAACAAAGGCATCGAGCAACCATGGTAAGTCCTCCTGATAATCTTTTGCGCTAAGAGTCTGTCCACAAATTTCCAATTTCACTTGAAAAAGAAACAAAATGGAACTTTGAGTATGCATAGAAAAATACTAAATTTCACTGTGAGTATTCTTAAATGTTTGACACATCAATAGGCTTGAGTATTTTGTTCACTTTATATGGTTCTGAAGCCTGCAGGGTTCTAAAAAGCTACTTAACGTGTGTATGCAGAACATAAGAGGATAATCTGGATTGGTACTGCTGCTGCTGCTGCTCTATTGACAATGGTGCTTTCCATCATGTGCTGTTTATTAAGAAGAAGAATTTTTTTACTTCCAGGTATATTCTTCAAGCATAGGGAAGCTTTTGACAGAATTTCACAGACTTGAGAAATGAAAATCTTAATGTATTGCATTAATCAAAACAGGGGAGAACAGGAGAAAGATTGATGACAAGGAATTGCTTGACGTGAAGGAATCTTACTCATCTAACAATGTCAATGCGCTTCAGAATGATGGAGATATGGGGCATGATTTAAGAGTATTTAGCTATGCATCTGTCAAGGCAGCCACAGAAAACTTCTGTGATGAAAACAAGCTTGGAGAAGGGGGCTTTGGACCAGTTTATAAAGTAAGGTTTTAAAGAATACGAAAGTAATATTGTTATTTGTTGCCAAGGAAAATTGATTATATGACCTATTATGGATCATTGATTCAGGGGAAAATGTCGACGGGACAAGAAATAGCTGTGAAGAGGCTTTCAAGATGTTCGCTACAAGGAACATGGGAGTTTAAGAATGAGTTGATACTTATATCTGAACTTCAACATACAAATCTTGTTCGGATTTTGGGATTTTGCATTCATGGTGTAGAGAGGATGTTAATATACGAGTATATGCCAAACAAAAGTCTCGACTGCTTTTTATTTGGTTGGGAATTAGACCTGTCATTTAATCTCAGTATTTGTTTAATTTCTTGTTGCGAAGGTTTTCAATCTTTTCTAACTGTTAATTCATTGGGCAGATTCAACCAGAGGCATGTTACTAGACTGGAAGAAGCGTTTTAATATAATCGAAGGAATTGCTCAAGGACTGCTTTACTTGCACAAATATTCAAGATTGAGGGTGATTCATAGAGATCTTAAAGCTAGTAACATACTACTTGATGAAGATATGAACCCCAAAATTTCTGACTTTGGTATGGCAAGGATTTTCACGCATAATGAGCGGGAAGCAAATACTAATAGGATCGTTGGGACATAGTAAGTTATATGCATAAGCAGTGCATTCTTATGTATCTTGCCTATCACTTTTGATTGCCAAGCATGTGTTTATGCACTAAATCATACCTTTTCTTTTAAATTTCAGTGGTTACATGTCTCCTGAGTATGCAATGGGGGGAATTTTTTCGACAAAGTCCGATGTCTATAGCTTTGGTGTATTGACGCTTGAAATCATAAGTGGTAGGAAAAATAATAGCTTCTACAATGCCGATCGCGTCTTGAATATAGTAGGATATGTATGTCAAGCTAATCTCTCTATGATTAAGATTTTTATTCTTTGAGGTGAGACTGGAGAGAGTCTGATATCCTAAATGAATATAAGCTTCTTTCAGGCATGGGGGTTATGGAATGAAGGTGCAGGGCTAAGATTAATGGATCCAACGCTACATGAATCATGTATTGAGGATCAACTGATAAGATGCATCCATGTCGGTCTGCTGTGTGTAGAAGAGGATGCAGCAGATCGGCCTACCATGTCAGAAGTCATATCTATGTTGACAAATGAAAGCATGTCATTACCTATACCAACAAGGCCAGCATTTTTCACAATAAGAAACGAGGTTGATGCAGACATGAGCGTAAAGGAATCAGAAGTTTTATCAAGAAATGACTTTTCCCGTACTGATATAGTAGGAAGATGAAGGTACTAACATGTTTGGTGTGGCTCAATTGTTGTTATTATACTTGCTTTGATAGCTGTAAAGATAACTCTTTGAAAAGTGAAAATTTAATATGGGGTTCCATATATGACCAGAATTTGAACTATAGCTACACACCGTTATTAAGTGCTCTGCAAGTCATAATAATGCATGGATTGAAAATCAAAACTTTTACACCCTTTGGGAATTCTCACCATGAACCAAAGTAAAGCATTGAAAGTTACACACAATGATGGTGATCCCGGTTTGCTTTCCTCAGCTTCAGAAACTAGCTATACCAATATTATTTGTACCCTTTTAGATTCTTGCCATTTTTTCCTACAAGAATTCAGCTTTGATGGATCCGGGAAAAGGGTTTTGTGGCAAAGTTTTGATTTGCGTGAAGACACACCTTTGTACCAGGAATGAAATTAGATGTGAATTGAACCATAAAAATGGTGATATTTGGTCACTTTCATCATGGTTTACTCCCAATAGTGCAGTTCCAGGGGCTTTCAATCTTTGATTGGGACCCGAACAAACATGAAAATAAGTTTTGTCCTTAATTTGATATTTATTTTATCAGGCTCTTGTATATTTTATGAGCATTCTCTTCTCTACCCTTTCACATTTTGCAAAAGCACATTGACTTTCCTTCTAAATATTGATAATTCCAACCCCGTTTTGCTTCGGGAAAACTAACATATATATCTTCGTTTTAAGGTTCATATACATTAACAGGAATAGGACTTCGTGCTTAGTGTCTCTCTACTGTCATAAATTAACAGGAAAAGAAGAAAGGAAACCTTGTTGGGTTTTGCTAATAGCTTTGTTGGCCGGCCTGTAGTTGACCTCATACATTCTCAGTACATGTTGATGGTTAAAGTCCAACGACAATTCAGTCTTGTCTAACAAAAGAAATCCCACAACAATTTGGTTTTATAATACAGAGCCACAACAAGAAATATGTCACCAAAGTTTTCATCATTTGGCTATAAACCTTGTGCTGATCAGTCAGGGCTACCGCTAGCAGTCTCAGTTTAGCTTCCTTCCTCTTTTTTTCAAGCTTACTGTGGAATTTTAATGCTGCAAGGGACACAATCAAACTAGGTGACACTCTCAATTCCTCAAGTTCCTCAGTTTCTGCAATGGGTAAATTCACTATGCGGTTCCATAGATATGACCACAATTCAAACTATAGCTACCTGGTGATTCAGTCATCGGCAAATCATAATTATGCATGGATTGCCAATCGAAACCAACCCATTTTGCACCCTTTGGAAATTCTCACCTTGGACCAAAATAAAACATTGAAAATTACACACGAAGATGGTGACCCTGTTGTATTTTACTTTGCATATGAAACTAGCAATAGTGATAATATTTCTGCTACCCTTTTAGATTCTGGCAATTTTGTCCTACAAGATTGGAGAAATGGTGGATCAACCCAAAGGTTTTTGTGGCAAAGTTTTGATTTTCCTTTAGACACCCTTCTGCCAGGTATGAAATTAGGTCTGCACCACAAAAGTGGTAATACTTGGTCACTTTCATCATAGTTTACTCCTAATAATGCAGCTTCGGGTGCTTTCACTCTTGATTGGGACTTGAATCAACGAGAATTGAAGATTAGACGACACGGGGTAGTTTATTGGAGTACTGGAGCTTTTATGAATGGGAGGTTTAAATTTATGTTGCCTGATGAAACCAAGCTGAGGTATAACTTTAGCATTGTTTCAAATGAAGATGAAGACTCCTTCACTTACAATCCTGTAGATCAAAGTGGTAAATCAGAGTTTGTGCTAACCATAATGGGGAGGCTGTATGACTTTGACAGGAAAATTGATATTGCAGAAGCAGATTACTGTTATGGCTCTAACACTGATGCAGGGTGCCAGACATGGGACCAACCGACTGTAGGAATGATGGTAATAGATTTGAGCAAGGAAGTGGTTACTTTAATGTAAGCGGCTCAGGTTCGGCAACAAGAGTGATATTTCAAATGCAAGTCTCAGCATTAGTGGTTGTAAGGCTGCATGTTGGAAAATTTGTGACTGCCTTGGATTCACCTTTCTGTTTGATAATCAGACCAGGTGTCAATTTTGGACTGGAAACTGGGAGTTTGTTCAAGATCGGTCAGGTTCTAGTTCAGCCAGTATTTATTTTCTAACAACAATGGAATTGCGCAGTCATAGTAAGTCTTTGAATCTTTTGTGCTAAGAGTCTGTCCACAAATTTCCAATTTCATATGACTTGACATCTTCCAAAGAGAAAATATGTACAAACAACAAAAAAGAATTTTGGGAATACATAGAATAAGTACTAGGATTCACTATGAGTTTTCTTGCATGTTAGAATTTTGGGAATACATAGAATAAGTACTAAGATTCACTGTAGACAATATCTGAAACCAGGGTTCTGAATACCTAATTGTGTGTGTATGCAGAGCATAAGAGGATAATATGGATTTGCACTGCTACTGCTGCTGCTGCTCTGTTGATAGTGGTGCTTTTGCATCATGTGCTGTCTATTAAGAAGAAGAAATCTTTTACTTCCAGGTTGGGTCGTTAGTCACAAGGAAGTAATAGACAAACTTTTGCAGATTTGAAATTTTTAACTTTCTGCATTTACCAAAATAGGGAACAGGGCAAAGGTTGATCAGAAGGAACTTCTTGACGTAAAGAAATCGTTCACATGTAATGATGTCAATGGGCTTCAAGAAGATGGAGAGATGGAACATGATTTAAGAGTATTTATCTATGCATCTCTTATGGCTGCCACAGGAGACTTCTCCGAGGAAAACAAGCTTGGAGAAGGGGGCTTTGGACCTGTTTATAAGGTAAGGCTTTATAATAATAGAAAAGTATATTATTATTGCTAAGAAATAACTGATGATGTGAAATATTTATGGATCATCAATATTTCAGGGAAAACTTATGACAGGACGAGAAGTAGCTGTAAAGAGGCTTTCAAGATGTTCGGTGAAAGGATTGGAGTTTAAGAATGAACTGACACTCATATTTGAGCTAGTAACATACTGCTTGATGGAAATATGAACCCCAAAATCTCTGACTTTGGTATAGCAAGGATTCTCACTCATACTGATCTAGAAGCAGAGACTAATAGGATTGTTGGGACATTGTAAGTCATACATTCTTATATATCTTGTCTAGCACTCTTGGTTGCCAATCACACATTTATGTACGTATGTAATAAATCTTACCTTTTCTTTTCAATTTGCAGTGGTTACATGTCTCTTGAATATGTCACAGGGGCAATTTTTCTACAAAATCTGATGTCTATAGCTTTGGAGTATTAGTGCTTGAAATCATAAGTGGTAGGAAAAATAACTGAATATAAGCTTATTTCAGGCATGGGAGTTATGGAAAGGAGGTGCAGGGCTACGATTAGTGGATCTGAAACTGGGCGATTCATGTATTGATGACCAATTGCTAAGATGCATCCATGTTAGTCTGCTATGCGTGGAAGCAAATGCAGCTGATCGGCCCAGCATGTCAGAAGTCATATCTATGTTGGCAAATGAAAGCATGCCATTACCTACACCACCAAGGCCATCATTTTTTGGAGGAACACAGGAGGATGAAAGTGATATAAGTGGGAAGGAATCAGAAATTTTATCAATAAATGGCTTGTCCCCTTCTGATATAGTAGGGAAGATAAAGTTGTGCCTCAATCGTACTTTCTTTTCCATAAGTGTAATGGAACATCACTTTAGCTTGCAATTTGTGCCTTTGGAGGAAAGAAAAAGTGGCCACATTTCGCCTAATCTGCTGGAGGCCTCGACCATGGATAAAAAGAAAAAGGAAGAGCATAAAATGCCCCTCCATCCCATTGAATCCGGGTCTTGGACTATATAGTGAAGTTAACTTTGAAGAGTCACTGAACCAAAACGTGCTTTATCCATTTCTTTTGTTAGACTTTATTTGTGCTTTCACACCACTTAACTGATCTATTTAGTCCAAGATGAAATCATCAGCCCTTCTGGGTCCTCTTCTCCCCTCTTTAAGAAAATCGATCATGGCACAAACTTCTCTACGTTTGATTAGGGTTGAATATGTTAAGTAGGGTGTACTTATTAAAATTATATTTGTTTCATAATTCAATATATCCTTTTTGGTTATTTTATATTAGGGTAAATTAGTAATTCAATAAATAGTATGGTAATATGGTGTACTAAGTTAACTTTAGAGTTCGTTTAGCAGCACTCATTAGCTGATAGCTCTTTTGTGGTTTGTGCTCCCCTGTAAAAAGTTGGTTATATCAACATCTCTCAATGTTCAATTTAAATAATGTTATATATATTTTCATAAATGTCGATTACCGATGTTTTCTCTTACACGATAATTTTCTACCTTCATATAAACTACCTTTTATTTTTTATTATTTATTTTTCAGTCAATACAATCAAACTGGCTTTAAAATTCACTTGCCAAAAGGTACTTGACAACTTTCCTTTGGCTGCTAGGCTTTATGAAAAAGGGAAATGTGGGGTTTAAAGGAGTCTATCTGATTAAAGGGTTTCAATCATGTGATCCAGCAGGATATAGATAGTGATTTTCTCTATTATGCATTTCATTTTCTATGGCATAATGGACAAATACGTTTTAAGTTTTCAAGTTATGTCGGCCACTGGACCTTTTAAGTTTTCAAGCGACTTTGATGGTTAAATTCACATAATAATTTGATTTAGATCGATCGATCAGATTCAGAACCAAAAAAGAATAAAGATAGATATATAGAACTGTTAGTATTAATTTTGATGCCTTGGACTATCAAGTCCTGTGGATTTTCCCCAGAGGTGGGGTTTTACCACGTAAAATAACTTCTGTGTTTTTATCTATTTTTACGTTCTGTACTGTAGAGGATTGATACATCGTATCAATCCCTTTGGCGTGTTTTTATATATTACTGTATTACTCTTGACTACTCAAAACGCAGACTTTACTTTTTTAGTGTTTTAAGCCATCCTATAGGTATTTTCAAGAACATATTTTGATCAGCCAAGGTTTCATCGTTTGGAGAAATAAAAGTAGTTTGTGAAAATTCATGGCTAGCAGTCTAAAGTTGATTTTGTTCCTTATTTTTTCAAGCTTAATGTGGACTTATACTGCTGCTAGGGACACACTCAAACCAGGTGACACTCTCAATTCCACAAGTTTCTTATGTTCTGCAAAGGGGAAGTTCTGTTTGGGTTTCATTGTGTACGACCAACTGAATTCCAGCCAGTTGACCGTATGGAGCACTACACCAAATAGCCAACTATGGATTGCCAGCCGAGACATGCATGTTTTATACCCGACAGGAGTTCTTACCTTGGACAAGAACAAAACATTGAAAATTATGGACCAAGGAGGAACTAGGTTGGAGCTTTGCTCTGCTCCGAAAAGAACTAGCAATGTTGTGGCTACTCTTCTAGAATCTGGAAATTTTATCCTACAAGAAGTGAACTCTGTCGATGGATCGACCACTCAGGTTTTCTGGCAAAGTTTTGATTATCCAACAGACACCCTTATGCCAGGCATGAAATTAGGTGTTAACCATAGAAATGGTCACGTTTGGTCACTAGCTTCATGGTCAACTGAGTACAACCCAGAGACAGGGCCTTTCACCCTTGAATGGGACCCCAAAGGGTGCGAACTGAAGATTAAGAGACGTGGGGTGGTTTATTGGACTAGTGGAGCCTTTACGAGTAAGAGGTTTAAGCAGATCATGATGAGGTATAATGTTAGCATCGTTTCAAACGAAAGTGAAGACTACTTCACTTACATTGCTTTAAACCAAAGTTCTCCATCACAATGGTTGCTTACCTCAACTGGGCGACTATATGACTTTGGAGGATTTGATATTGCAAGGGCAGATAATTGTTATGGCTATAACACTGATGGAGGGTGCCAGAGGTGGGCGGAGAAGCCAACTTGTAGGCATGTTGGTGATACATTTGAGCTAAAAAATGGTTTCTTTAGACTAACCAGCTCTAATTCAACATTCCTGAATGATTCGGATACAAGTCTCAGTATTAGTGATTGCAAGGATTCTTGTTGGAAAAATTGTGAGTGCCTTGGGTTCAACTTTCTGTTTGATATTGATCAGACTGGATGCAAATTTTGGACTGGAATGAACTGGGAGTTCATTCAAGACTTTAATGGCGATTCTACATTGAGTTTTTACTTGTTAAAAAAGTCACCTCTCAATCATGGTAAGCCTACTAAATCATTAACCTTTTGAACTAATGAGCTGTCAACAAGTTTCAATTTCATATCAGTTCCCTTCGATGTACGAACATGTTCAGAAGTTTCTATTTCATATCAGCTCACATCATTCCACAACAGACAATGCATACAAACAACAAAAGATAATTTGCCGTGCGAGCACATGCATACATTTATACGCAATTAAACTGGAAGTTCATTAACTGCACAATGCAGGTAAAGACAAGGGGATATGGATTGGCATTGGCATCGCCGCTGCTGCTCTGCTGCTAATGGTACTCTGCATCGTCTGCTATCTACTAAGAAGAAGAAAATTTACACTTTCAGGTACATAGAGTTATTCACATCCTTGAAAATTGTTGTTATAAATATAGAGGTTTAACTTACTACCTTAATCTAAATAGGGGAGAACGAGACAAAGATCATTGAGAATGAATTGCTTGACTTAATGAAATCTGATAGACCTACTGATGCCAATGCACTTCAAAATGATGGAACGATGCGACATGATTTAAGTGTGTTTAGCTATGCATCTGTCATGGCTGCCACATGCAACTTCTCCCCAGAAAACAAGCTTGGACAAGGGGGTTTTGGGCCTGTTTATAAGGTAAAGGCTATAGATTATAAGAAGTGTTTTGTTATTAATAGCTAAGTATAAATAGCTGATCATCAAATGAAATATTGGGGGTCATCAATTCAGGGAAAATTGCTGACGGGACAAGAAATCGCTGTGAAGAGGCTTTCAAAATGTTCAGGGCAAGGAACGCTGGAGTTTAAGAATGAATTGGTACTCATATATGAACTCCAACATAAAAACCTTGTCAAACTTTTTGGATTCTGCATTCATGGCGAAGAGAGGATGCTAATATACGAGTATATGCCAAACAAAAGTTTGGACTACTTTCTATTCGGTTGGAAGCACTCACTTAAATCTTATTACTTGATTTCTTTTGTCACTTAATTGTCAAAAATACAATGATCATGATCAATCTTAATTTCACTCTATATATTGGACAGATTCAACAAGAGTCATGCTACTAGATTGGAAGAAGCGCTTCAGTATAATTGAAGGAATTGCTCAAGGATTGCTTTACTTGCACAAGTACTCAAGAGTGAGAGTAATTCATAGAGATTTAAAAGCTAGTAACATACTACTTGATGAAAACATGAACCCCAAAATTTCTGATTTTGGTATGGCAAGGATTTTCAAGCATAATGAACTGGAAGCAAATACTAATAGGGTTGTTGGAACATAGTAAGTAAACAATTTGACGTTCAAAATTTTCAGTTTGCTAAACATGCATTTTTGTATGCCAAGACGTACTAAATTTCTGTTCTATTTGATACAGTGGTTACATGTCTCCTGAGTACGCCATGGAGGGCATCTTTTCCATAAAGTCTGATGTTTATAGTTTTGGAGTGTTAATGCTTGAAATCATAAGTGGGAGGAGAAACAATAGCTTCTACAATGCTGATCGCCTGCTCAATATAGTAGGATATGTATGTCAAGCAAATTAACAGATTGTGATGACTAAATTTTTCTTCTTAATTTGAGGTGTGTGATTCTGTATAATTGAATTAAGTCTTTGTTTCAGGCATGGGAATTATGGAAGGAAGGCACAGTGCTACAACTAATGGATCCAACAGTAGGTGATTCATGTATTAAAGATCAATTCTTAAGATGCATCCATGTTGGCCTGCTATGCGTGGAAGAAAATGCAGCTGATCGGCCGACCATGTCGAATGTCATATCTATGTTAACAAATGAAAGCATGCCATCTGCATTACCTACAAGGCCAGCATTTTTTACAGGAAGAAATGTGGTTGAAGCTAGTATGAGTGGAAAAAAAACAGAAATTTTTTCAACAAATGACTTATCCAATTCCACTAATGTAGCACGATGACGGTATGCTCGTTTTGCCATGGACAAATCACTTGAGCTTGCACTTGGTATGTCCCTGTGGAAATGGTGGCTATCTGATCGAGATGTCCATGCAGAGACACATCATCTGTATTTAGCTGATGGAAACATCTCTTTCAGTAACACATTAATTTTGGATTAAGTTTTTGTAATATATGATATTGGCATTAACTTGTAAAATTAACTCCCAATTAGTGAAACTTTACCTAAACTTCACAATTGCAGCAAACTAATGAGGAAATAATCCTCTCATCACTGTCATTCATGCTTGAAACCTTGGAAGAAACAGAGAAG